TATATAATCAGATCTCAGGAATATGCAAGTTTCTTCATCAATCTGTGTCTGGGCAGACACCTTCTTTGGAAAAGTTCCAAAATGCACGACGTGTCATCAAAAACATCTGTGCAGTCTAAGAACTATTTTTGATGAGCTTTGACAAATGAAGGAGTTGTTTGAAGTTTAATGAGCATATACCTATTCTGTATTGACCAGCTGAACAAAACAGTGAACAACATGCTCTGTGGCCTGATATACGTAACCGTAACGCTTGAACTAGGCTCTTTGGCAGCGTTTTACTACTTACCTTAAAAGAAGAAAAGAAGAAAAAAAAATGATTGTTGATCGATTCGTCAACGATGATGAAATATGCTGTATTGGTAAGTTAGCCAAAGTCCTTGTACCCTTCCTTCGTTTTCGTGTGCACGAAAGATGAGCACTAGTCTTTCCCAGCCTGTCAACCAGATAATCAGCTATCCTTGTTCCAGATTCTTCTTTACTTTGCTGCCTTATGCTTTGCTCAATCTCCTGGCTTCTAGCCAATTGTTAATGCTAGAGTAAGTATCTTGTTCAATATTCTGATCTCTCATCATCTTAGTAAACCCTCACAGCTCATTCAGATCGAAGTAGAAGTTTGATGACAAAACGTGGTCGAACTGCATGTATACAGGTGATGACAATGGTATTGACCGTGTCATTTAACGAGTTCGTTTTCAGATGATTGAGGAATATCCCAAAGAGATGGATACCTTCCATGGAGTCAATTTCATACTCACCGATGGCATAGAATTTATAATCATTGTAGTTTCTGTTCTCGTAATTGTTGCCTTCTACGTATTTGTCGCAAGTATCTGTGGAGCAGTCCTATATATCAGCATCAGGGATCAGGGGAAGTCGACGCAGTCTGCTCAGTTCCTAGCCAATCAGCGTAGAATTACTGTCGGTATCATTTACTTTGTTAGAGGGATACTACAGACTTCAGAGTAAAGCTAAAGTTCTTTTCAGGGAGCTGTCGAGTTAGGCTGGGTGGGTGGTCCTGTTGTGATAATTGGCTCTTGTATCATTTTCCATATCGGCAACTACGGTAGATTTACTGTTTTACAGTCAGTACATCATTCAATCCCTGTTTTCAGTCGTCTCTCATTGTTCATTAGTTTTACTATGCTTTTATCCAATATCTGGTCCTTACTATGTGTTGATGTCCAACGTCGACTACAACAAGAGGGTGAAAGAGATAATGAAGAACATCCGCTCTAAGCTCTGTTTCTCCTGTTCCAGTTGTCCATCAATTTTACAAAGTTTTAAAAAAATGTTTCCAGATCACAAGGTGACTTCAGTTTCTAGTGCTATGACCGTGACTTCATAAAACTGATTATCCCGGTACGAACTCCCCAAGAACTCATAAATGTAATTTCTTCAATAGAAATGGTTATTGATTGTATATTCCAGGATTCCATATTCTAGTTAAATGCTTGTATGCCTTGAGTATATGTATTGATTTCATTTTTTGTCTCACTGATCCTGTTGTTCGGTACGGTTAACCAGTAAGTAGAAGAGAATTCCGAATGCTTAGTCTGTCCTTATCATTTTGATTTTCGTCAATGTTTGATTGTAGTGATATGTATTATCAGTTGATCATAAAAAAGAACAAAAAGAGTTTTGATCTAAGAGGAAATCTAATTGAGTAGCAACTCATTCATGTATTTTCACTCAAAATTAGAATTGTTGTGGTTTCAATGTTAAGGATGCAAGCCTACTGGGCGGTGAAGGATGTAATACAACCGTTCTGAGCGGTTAGGGTTGAAATGCAATCTTTCTGGACTGTGAACCATAGAATGCAACCTCTCGGTACGTTTTGAATGAGACCCAGACTTGTCCAGTTCTCATCCTTGCCTTTGCGAACTGTTGAGCTTTTTTCTCTTCTCTGGAGCTTCTCCAGAGAGAGAGAGAGGAGTATAGCTGACCTGTTCACATCGTCAACTGACGTGATTCAGCAGCTTCCCGGCTTATATACCCCCAACGAAACACGTCACGTGGAAATAATTTTAATGTGAAAAAAAAATGACTCGGTCGTTCTTTTTTGGGAAAATGTTGTATCTTCCACATCTTCATTTTGGTTGAAAAATGTTCGTTTTCTCTCTTAGTAATTTCTTTCATTAGCAGATAGAATTTACCTGAGCCTGAGTATTGTCTGAGGTTTATTGCTCTTACGAAATGAAATAAGTCATTCTCTTCTATCATAAGGTAAGAACGTTGTAAAAAGAGCAATATGATTATGACATTGGTTGGTTCAACTCCTAATTTGGTCTTCATGTGTTTCGCTTAAGCGTCACTTCTATCAACTCTCGACTGTCAGAGACAGATATCCCTACTTAACTTCTCTGACGACGTAACATGAACAGCACGAAAAGCTACTGTTCTTGTTCTCAAACAAAGAGAAGCTGAGCAGCTTTTTTTGTGTTCCGTGTGTTGTATTCTGCTAAGGCGGTTTACAGCTACTACATTATGACATTTTCCGTTATCTATTCCATGCGGAGAATAATGACTCTTGTTTCTTCAAGCATAGCTGGGCTCTGCTCGAGACTTTTTCTTTATATCAAGCTTATGAAAAAAAAAGAACCTATTTCTGGCTTTGAGTAGTGATGATTCAGCAATGATGGATGTTCGCTCATTTCAATTTCAACTTTCAGATTTCCTGGTCTTCATTCGATCGCGCAACAGTTCACTCATCTATAATTTCTGAATGTCTCAGAGCAACAGAGTGTTACTTTCACTGTTTCCACACAATTGTACCGGTAGGATGTAGCAGTACGCTTCAACACTCGAATA